ACCATTTGAACTCTAATTTCAGCAAACCTCAGCCGAACTGAACGTCTTGGAAACGAACCCAACGACACCAAATTCGACTCAATCCGAGCCCAAATGGGACCAAATCAAACACCCGAAGCACATTTGGAAGGTTCAAACTATAATTTGAATTACCAAACGGTTTCCAAACGTGACATACTTATAGTCAAATCAAGCGACTCGACGAGACAAATCCAACGAGCCTAAGATCGCTAAATTATGATATCACTAAGAAATTCAAATGTCCATCAAACGGTCCACGATCAAGGGATTCAACATCGGCCGTCCATTCAAACCACTCTCCACTTACCCTTGATCTTCCTCCTATTTATGGGCCATTCCACTCCATGAAATCTATAAATATAGACCCTTCCTTTGGAAAAGGAACCCCTAAGCTTAAGGAAAACGGAGAGAGGCCGGAGATCGTTCTTGCTTCCTTGCCTCCTCGACCACCACCCGGAGTTCTTTCGGACCACCACCTGACACTCAGAGTTATTCCGGACCACCACCTGACGCTTAGAGTTCTACCGGACCACCACCTGAGGCCCGGACTTCTTCCAGACTACCACCTGACGCCCGAAGTTCTTTCAGACCACCACCTGACGCCCAGAGTTCTGCCGGACCACCACGTGATGCTCGGATTTCTATCGAACCATCACTTGAGGCCCAGACTTCTACAGAACCACCACATGAGGCCAAAAATTCTACTTGACCACCACCTAAGGCCTGAACTTCTTCCGGACCACCACATGAGGCTCGAACTTCTGCCAAACTACCATATAAGGCCCAAACTTCTGCAAGACCACCACATGAAGATCGAAGTTCTGTCGAACCACCACCTGACTCTCGGAGTTCTTTCGGACCACCACCTGATGCTCAGAGTTTTTTCGGACAAGCACCTAACACCTAAAGTTCTGTCAAACCACCACCTAAGGCTAGGACATCTGCCAGACCACTACCTGAGGCCCAAAGTTTTGCCAGACCACCACCTGACATTAGGAGTTTTGCCGGACCACCACCTGATGCTCGGACTTCTGCCGGACCACCACCTGAGGCCCAGACTTCTATCTGACCACCACGTGAGACCCAGACTTCTGCCCGATCACCACCTAATGCCCGAGGTTCTACTAGACTACCACCTGATGCTTGGAGTTTTGTCGGATCACCACCTAACTCCTGGAGTTCTTCCAGACCATCACCTGATGCTTGGAGTTTTGTCAGACCACCACCTAATGCCCGGAGTTCTTCTGGACCACCACCTGATGCCAAGAGTTCTACCAAACCACCACCTGAGGCCTAGACTTCTTCCAGACCACCACCTGATGCTCGACTTCTACTGGACCACCACTTGAGGCCCTAACTTCTGTCGAACCACCACTTAATGCCCATAGTTCTACCGGAGTACCGCCCTACTACTACGGTCTTTCTGACCTCAGTCTCTTTCCGACCATGATCTTTCCAACATTCGTCACCTGCTACGGTCCTTCCAACCTCTATCGCCAGAAAAGAGTCTTTCTGACCCTTATCTCCTGTTGATTACGATTCTTCCAACCTCCGTCACCTACTAAGGTCCTTCCGAACTTCATTGTCGGACAATAATTTTTACATGATCTTCCATTGAATTGGACGATTTCTTATAATTAGCGACGAATTGTCGGTTCATCAATTGAATGCGAAGTTGGTTATTTTGGTTGATGGAATCCGCATTTTACGAGTTTAATGTTGAACCGAACACACCGAGCAATCTAATATGTTTTTTGATTTCTTGTGGATGGACCCTATATAAAAAAAATTATTGGCTCAGGATTTTCATCATAAATTTGAAAGCAGCTTAATATCAAAATTATTGAATTTATTTAATAATAATAATATATATTTGAATTATTTTTAATATTTATATTCTGCTTAAAATAAACCAAACTATTTTGAAGCGATAAAAGAAAAATCCATAGATGCAAATTTTAGTTTTTTGCTATCTAATTCCCGAACGAGCTTGTGAACGACGAAAGAAGCCAGGGAAGAGAAGTAAGCTCGCGAGGGATCGCGTTCGTCTTCAACCTTACGAATCTAAGTACCGGGAATCGTTAAAAAACGGTGCTGCAGTGTCTTCGAGGGGCATTTGGCGATCTGGGATAATTTCAATTTTAGGGTTTCGTTTCATCGGTATTCATTTTTGAACTTCTTACTAATTTCTTTCGTATGTTAAAATCTTGTCTTTTTTTCTTGTTACTTTCTTAATTTTAGTTTTCCTGCTCATCTAGAAAATTGAAGATTTTTTTTTTCTTCCTGGTGGTTCAAGTCGGGCTTTTGGTTGAGATAATAATTCAACTTGCATTATGCTCTCTTTAACCTATATGGTTTGTGTGTGAGCAAATATCTATTTTTGTAAACACATTTACATATAAAAACTCTATATTTCTTATTTTACTATGTGCAACTGATGTAAAGTGAATATATCTAAGAAAACTAGATAAGATTTAACAATTCCATTGTCAAAAGTTGTAACGCTCATTTAACTTTATGCCAGCTATTTGGGGTTGGCTTTATGAATCCCGATTCTTCATTTATCTCTCTGAGTTCTGCAGGAGAGCTACACACATTTTTGCTAGGAAATAAAGATCAAATGCACATTTGGTTGGTTTGATCTGCTTGGTTTACAAATTAGCTAAATCAATTGGTTTTGGATCTAAAATTTGGTAAACTGAACCGACCAAAGTAGTTTTCAAATTGAATTGAACTGAGTAAGAATTAAGTTCAATCAGTTCAGTTCATTTATACAACAAAAACAACAACAACATGCCTTTATCCCACTACGTGTGGTTGGCTAAATGTATATTTTTTCTCCATCGTGTCCTATTAAGAGTCAAATTCTCACTTTAATCTAATAAAAAATATGTCATTTCTAATATTTTACAACCAAGTCTTTTTAGGTCTATGTCTACCTTTCTTAACATAGGCTAAATCAAATACATCTACTCTCCTAACCGGGTCATCAAAAGACCGACGTTTTATGTGACCAAACCATCTATGGCGACTCTCTCTAATCTTTAATAGTGGTCCTAAGTTCAGTTCAGTTCAGTTATAGATGAACCAAAATATAATTAATTTTAACAATAAATCTAATTATCATTAGTTTAATTAATATGTAGTAAGAGGAATACCATGTAACTAAATTTATAATTTTTCCATTTGAAATAAATAATATTCACTTTGATCTTCAAATCAATCATTTATTTTCAATTATTTATTAATAATTCATTGATGTTATTATTTAATATTTGAATAAGTTAGCATAAGATCAATTATATAAAATAAAAACCGACTAAAAACCAATAGAAAAAGTCAAAATTACAACCAATAACCAAATGAATACTTTAATAATTGAATTGAACCAATCAAATAAGATAGGTTTGGTTAAGTTCTTACGGTTTAACCAAATAATTCTCACCCCTAGTTATCACTAACCATATTCACCTCAATAATTTTATATTTAATTCTCTTTCCAATCCATCCCTGCCACATTCCTATTTTCAGCCTTTCCAACATAAAATACTTATAAAGTTCTCAATGTCCTTAGTTCTCTTCCCTTTTACATTTAATTCTTGCAAACTATTAATATTTATTCATTTTCTAATCCTTGTCAATATCTCAATTAACTCTCTTTTCCATTTTGACTACCCAAATTCAATGTAGTTGATCTAATCTTAGTTTTAGACAATATACCCTGGCCCATGTTTCAGTAAAATTAGATTAAGTAGTGGTGCATCACTTGCAAGTAGCATCCTTGCCACTTTTCTCCACTGGCATCTCAGTTACAAAGTGATATTAAAACAAACACTTGTTACTATAATCAGGTTGCATCGTCGCATTGCACTTCCAAGGAATTCCCTAAACAAGAAAATTTCAATTTGAACTCATTTCATAATTTTTTCATAAGCTCAATGCTTGACGATCGACCTGACATCAACTTTGAATCATTCTCAATTGAGCTTAGGACCACTATTGGTGGCTTCTCAGACATAATGACCATTTTTTTAATTGCATAAGTGAATATTAAATCTAAAGCTAGTTATTTGAATCTTCAAAAATAACATTTTAGCACCAATTCTAGCACAAGACCAATTTACACCTATGCTTGATCAATAATAAAATATATGCAAATAAGTTTTAATATTTGTCCCAATGTACTCTAAAAAAAACATAAATTGGAGATCAATAACTCAATATGACAATAACCAAAAAACTTTGTGTGTGTGTGTGTATTATATATATATATATAAGATAGGATCTTCTCGTAAGCTTAATTTTAATTGTAGAAAATATAATAGAAAAATATCTGGAGTTCGAGCATACACAATTAAGAGTAGAAGATAAACTGATTAGATGACTAGATAAAATTAATATCAAAGGCCCAGGATAAAATATGATAGACTTGAGGTGATTTAGCACAATTCAATGATTTTGATTTAAGCAATATTAAAAAACTAATTGATATTTTTTATGAAAAATATTTTATATCATTCATCTTTTTATATTGCTTGATCATAGGCCATACATTCATAAAAAATATAATAATAATTATTAACATCAGCTAGTTTTTATCTTATAATTTATCCTAAAGGTTGAATCTGTTGGGAGTGCTTTTTGTTTTTCTACTTAAAAGAACAATTGAATCTCTATACACACATGGAAAAATTATGGAAGATGCATTACAAATAGAAGGCTATTTCATAACTTGAACTCGTGACCTCATAATGAAAAAAATTTGATGCTCTTAATATTTATTGATCGTTTAGTAGTATTTACAGGAGTATTTTGACATGTGCTTTATAAGTTAGTCCATACATTGTTTGGTTCATATTATCTTTACCAACTTTTTAGGCGTTTTCGAATACATGATGTGACACATCTTAATTTATGTAAGCCCTTTTTTGTGTTTATTCTTCAGGGAACAATCACAGAATGAAAAGGCCGGCCTCTGGAGAAGATGCATCTACATTCCTCCGAGGACTCTTCAGATTCAGAATTCTGAAGATGCATAGCTTTGTTAGAAAAAAAGAGTTGCAAACATATTGGAGGTTCTAAAAGCCTCATAGATACCATGCCAGAAGGTATATTTACTTTCAAGTTTTTTTTTTAATTTCCTTATAACATCATTCGTTTATTTATTCCATACTTTTACTGATAATTACAATAAAATATTTTCTCCTGTAGCTTTTCAACATTGACTTGCGAAATCAAAAGCAAGTGCAAGGGATAGGATTCCACAAGTTTTAAAATTCTTGGTAGGCTAGGATATACAGTGTTTCTACAAGAGGCAGCTAATATTTTTAATATAGTATCACAGTTTCTTTGTTCGTGGTAGGAGCTGTCAAACTCTCTTTTGGTATAATTTTTTCATCAATGTTCAACCTTTTGATCTAGAAATGTGTTTCTTTGTAAACCTATCGCAGAGGAACTATAAATCTTGGAACATGCTTTTGACCGGACATCATTGTTCTTCATTATCCTTGCTTATCTTGAAGCCTTTAAAGTTGGGTAAATCATGTCTCCTTAAGCTAGAGTGTTTTGTAGTGGGAGAATGTAGTAGCTTGCATCTATGATTCAGAATTTTACATTCCCTTATTTTAAGAACTTAAAGCAGTTGGTGTGGAAAAGATTTTAGTTTATTCTGAGGGACCAAATAGTGAGTTTTAGAGTTGTTGAATAGATGGATTTTGATGTGGTGTTCTGACTTTCTAATTAACTTGTAGCATGGAAAAATTAAATACTAGAAATAAAAGGTTTCATGCTTTCTAATTAATTTGTAGCATGGAAAAAGTAAACTCTAGAAATACAAGTTTTCATGCTGTGCTTGTTTGACTTTAGAAAAGTACCATAAAAAAATCCTGCTAGAATAGAGTTGCAGATGTATGCTTTTTTTAAGCAAAATATTATAACTAGATAATGAAATGAGTACACAAGCGACAATTACAATGAATTGTCATATTACAATGTAAAAATATAAAGACAATTAAGGATAATAGTACAACAACATCAAGTCTTTATCACACTACGTGGGGTCGGCTACATGAATCTTTTTTCTCCATTGTGTCCTATTAAAAGTCAAATTCTCGTTTAAATCTAATAATTAAGGATAATAGTAAGTCAGTAAAAATATCCGTCTTATAGATTAAGATATCCATAACAAGATCTCATTTTTGCCTACTTACTTGAATCTTAGTGAATATTTAAACGTGATGATAAATGTTTTTTCTCATTTATACCTTTTTTGGTAAATGAGATTTGCAACCTATTGAATTACATGGCAAGGAGGGGTCCCACAGCTTTGACCGGTCAGCAATCCGTGGGCAGTGCGAATGGCTCGCACAGAAGGAGGAAGATTTCCACCTCTGTTATGCATGATCCAGTCCCGTCTGAACCGGCTAGAGATGTCTAACATATTGTTGCTAAATCTACATGGTCTAGTAAGAAAAATAAACTTGAGAATAATATTTGTTATTCATTGAATACAGGAACTATTTATATGATCAATATAAGAATTATAAACAACATGATTATGGTGTATTTGAATATTATAAGCTTTAAAGGTCGTGTGGCCAAATACTATTTACCTCAAAATTATTTTGTTATTATTATTTATTTCACTGAAAGTCTCAAGCAAGAAATTAATGATAAATTACGCTACAATTTATCAAAAATATTGCATGAGGCTCTATACAGAGCTTTGAATACTCTCCTAAGATTATATCACATGTTATTAATATTTTAAAAGAAAATCCTTAAGCATTTGAAGCTATTATTGAAAATAAAATCATATCTACTATTGATGGTGGATACTAAAGACATTTTATGAAGTGTTAAGATAGGTCTACATGTGATGATTCATGAATTTCTATTTCGGAAGTATACACCTAGATTTGCCTGACAAATATTGAATGACTATTAATGTCAACATTTTCTTAAGCCTATCAAATTAATGCATACCCTATTAGTACAGGACTTTCTGTTCCTATATTTCCCATTTTTAGCTGTTGTTTGTTGCTGCTCTTGAGACTACACACTAGATCGTCATCACTCTATTATGAGGATTCTTCTTTACATCATTTGCAACTTTGTCATGATTCATGCTTCGTTTGGAACAGTTTTCGTACTGTTTTTTAAAACAGCTTTCTAGTACAAAATTTTCAAATTCAAGAAATTTGTGTACTGGAAAGCTGTTTTAGAAAACAAGAAGAAAACTGTCCCAAACGAAGCCTCAATCTTTGGCTATTGTTACTATCGTGACTTATGCTGATCCTCAGCCCATTTCTTGCAGCTCTCCTTGGGTGACTTGCATATATGCTCCTTAAGGGCTTCTCGGCATTGAGTGACTAATTACTACAAATTTTTTATTTGTTTTTATTGAAAAATGGTGAGAACTCTGAGTATATACAAAGTCTTTTGATTGAAAATTCTAATCAGTTATTTCTTCTCGTGCTACGAGGAGATTAATCGAGCAATAGAACAAGTTACATGATTTTGGTTTTAGACACGCATTTCTTTGCATGATTTGAAACCTATTACGTGTTGAAACTTGTATTATGGAAGAACTAACATGGTAGAAAATTGCAAACCCATAATCCAAACTCATGCCTAGATTCAAGATTTCAATCCATATTGAGCCCAAATTAAGCTAACTCATGAATTACGCTTATTTTTCCCACATTAGGTTGATCTTTGTGCAATGAAGTACTGGTTTCAAAGTTCATGAATTCGAACAACAGAATACAATATTTCACAAACAAGGACTATCAACTTTAGCCTTTTGCTAGGGTTTTTTTTTAAACCCTGACAATACATCCAGGATTTATTATAAAACTTGATGTTACTATTAGGGTTTGTTATGAAATCGTAATAACAAACTTTTGACCTCTCTGCCTTCTTCCTTTCTCAAAACAACTCTCTTCAATTCGTTCAGTTCTCAGAGAAGAATTCAAGAAAAAGAAGAGTAAAAAAGGAGCGGATCCATAAGATCTCACTCAAGATTTTCATCATCTTTGATTATCTTTGTTATGAAATCGTAATAACAAACTTTTGACTTCTCTGCCTTCTTCCTTTCTCAAAACAACTCTCTTCAATTCGTTCAGTTCTCAGAGAAGAATTCAACAAAAAGAAGAGTAAAAAAGGAGCGGATCCATAAGATCTCACTCAAGATTTTCATCATCGTTGATTATCTTTGTTCTTAAATTTTCAATCAGTGCTCGTCTTCTAACCATCATCAGAATTAAGCATTGATTAACACAATCTGGCCACAAATTACCAGCATTGCGACCAAAACTTGAATTTCTAATTTGGTTAAGATCAATAAATTAGGAGGATCTCAAGAGTAGAAATAAATATCCTTATCGGATGTATTTAATAAAATTTTAATTGCTTTGAGTTCAAACTACTTTCAAATGGAACTGTTAAGTCTAAATTTGGACAGAATGCACATAACTTGGTTATAAGAACTAAAGGGCTTACCTTCAAGGATTTCTGGTAGTTTATCTTCTTTCTGATTGTCTTTATATCATATTTTGTATTTGTTACTTTTGAGAGATTCTTGAATCGAAGTTAAGTGAAAGTTGTGAACAAACTATTGATTTCTTCTTTGGCATTAAGTCCTATTTAGTGTTGCAAGTGTTTTGACCCTACTTTACAAGGCAGCTAACCAACCTTACTGATGAGGACATCCGACCATGAAAAGTCTACCAGAGAAGGGGCTGACGATCTATGGCCACTATCACACCAATTTATTTTTGAGCTATCATTTGTGTTAGGTTTATTGTTATTTGTGTAATTGATTTATTATCGCAATTTCCCGTTTTTACCCTCACTTGAGGGATTCGCTGTTTGTAACCCTTAGGGGCACTTGTGTCTTTTATTTCTTTATTGTAACATTGATTATTTATAACCCCTCCTCTTTTG